AAAATGTGGGGATGACCAGTTATTTGATTGTCTCAAACTGCAGAACTGCTAAACCAAATGCTCCCCAGCACCTCTTCTTGATCTGACTGTGAGCTGCTGCTAAGCCAGACATTTTCACAGTCTGAGATTTTTTTATGTAACAAAAACCAGGTCAAGTGATTCTTGCAATATCAAATGGGCAATCTGTTTTTTTCAAATATTGTTTCAGTCACCTTTGGTGCAGACCTGTTCATCCATCGTGCTTGGCTACTGACCAGCTTCTGAGATACTTCATTCAACCAGTGATGGTTTCATTATACGTTCCTTTTTTATACCCCCTTTGCCAATATTTCTTGGCTGCATAAAATAGATCTCATGTCTTATCCTTTCCTAAGCAGTTTGATGGGCTTCATGTGAAGAATAAGATTAAACAAATAGAACGATTACAATAATTCTTGCTAATAATATAGAGATAGCAAAAGAAGCAATGGGGTTTCTCTAACCTTTTGATCTCAATAGATTTTCTCCTCTTCTTTTTTGTCCCACTGTCATTGAGGAGTTATCTATTTAAAGCCAATTTAATGATACTGCAAATTAAGGAAGAGTGTTACAAATATATTGGGAAAAGAGAAAATGCTCAACAACTGAAAATCACAGTAGCTCAGTTGAATTAAATAGGTTAAATTCTTACCTGCATAGCTTTCTTCAAGTTTATGTTTTTTTCTTCTTCTACATGTATTAAAAGAGCAGGCCCAGCTGGTGTAAATTGCATATCCTTATTCATTTCCACTGAGTTTAAACAATTTAAGCCAGGTAAGACTCTGCCCCTAGCTAGAGCAGAAAGCTCTGCTCTTTGATCTTCATACTAGATTTTAAATATTGAAGATCTGTAATTCACATAGTATCGTCTAGAGCAAATTGCAAATATTGCACAGCAAATATTGCAAAACCCTATTCGGCATAAAAGAGCTGTCACTGGCAAAATCCCAGGTGTGAGGGGGCAAAAGGGACAATCTTGTGATCGGAAATGGCTGGCACAAAGTAGCTTCTTCATGAGTCCTTTACCCGTACATGCAAAAATGTAGCTCTAGCCGTAGGAGCCCCTACCCACCACTGAATGTGCAGAAACATTTTAACACGGCTTCAAAGTCAACCTGCCTCTGCAGACCTCCAGATGACACTGGAGGTTTGTTGTTATGTTCTCGTGTGTCGTACTCTGCAGGTGGGAAAGGAAGTACGCCAGCCTCTGACAGGAAACCCCGCTTTCAGTGTCCCCAGCCTTAGGAGATTTATTTATCTATATAAAAAAGTTATATTCACACGAAATCACAAACTGAGAAGTGGCTCTAGGAGATTTACTTACCTATATGAAGAAGTTATGTTCACATAAAATTGCAAACCAAGAAGGAGAGTTGAACTAGTCTGGTTCCCCATTTGGCCATTAAAACGTCTTTTCTTTACTTTGATTTATAATAATTTGATTTATAGTGACTTAGACACTGAAAGACAAAAATAATAAATTGAAGAGGCTGCCTTACGCTGGACCAGCTGTAATTTGTGACACAGACAAGCCATCAAACCAGTAGGGAAGTCCATTTTCTCTTTGGTGTTAATTTCTCCCCTCCAATTATCCAAAATAGTTTTTTTTTTTTCTCCCCCTCCACATTTTTCCCCTCCTGCATACTCAGGAGCAACAGTGGCTGATGAAAATGTGTAGAAAATGTCATAGATAAGGAAGCTTTATGATTTTTTTTTTTTTTAATTTTTGTGATTCTTTCCCACCTTTAATGGGAGAACAAAAAATGGGAAAAGCTCCAAAAATAGATCCCAAAATGTCGTCTACTGTCACGGGCTGAGGATTTCTCACACTAGTGATGGCCTAGACATTCTTAGTCACAGACTCACTTTGCAGCATTTTTGGGTTTTTTTGTGTGGGGAGCTTCCTCATACTTAAGTGGTAGTAAAGGCTACGGAATACTTGCTATTTTCCACTTCACTGTAACAAAAACTTTAAAATCTAATGTTGGTTGGTTTTTTCTCCCATTTGTGGCAAATATTAATTATACCCCAAACTACCTTCAACACAGCCTTGTGGATTACCAGTTATAACTGACATTATGGCATTGCTTTTTATGTCATTGTCAGAGACAACCTCAATTTTGTCTGCATAATTCAAATATAACTAGGGGGCTAAAAAAAAAAAAAAAAAAAAAAAGAAAGAGAAAACTGGAGCCCAGTGAGTTAAGTGAAATATTTTGATTATTAAGGGGTGTCTGGCTGCAAAAGAGTACTCGGGAGTTCTGAACACTACTCCTTTCTTACTCTCCCTTGTTGGAAGAAGACGTTCTCATTCTCTTAAAATATATCGTGTTTCTCTAACTTTGCATCTATAAGGGAAGAAATAAGTGCTGTATGACACTATCAGTCAGCACGAGGGTCCAAAGCATTTTACATGCAGATTACAGTTCAAATCCAATCCAGAAGTTTAATAGTCGGCCAATGCTTAGGGGTGCTTCAAAGTTTATGTGGAATTAGTTAGTCCCAGCAGAATTTGTAGTAAACAGGATACAACATTACCACCACAAGCAGCAGTTAATTTGGCATTTTCAGGAAAACTTGGGCTCCATGGACACGAAATTTTAAAGGGCAACCCTGAGGCATATTGATGAAACTATTTAAGGAAGTTTGACACACATGGTCCTGTGTTATGAATGAATGAGATTTTATTGTTTAGGCCTTTTAATTCTGAGAATCTGGGGTTCTTCAAGAACATTGGCTTCATATTTAACAAGCAAAAATCAAAACAGGGAAGTTGTTGAAAATCATGTTTTAAATATACTTAACATAATCCTATCAAAACAAGAGTTTTATATGCGTGTCATGAACTGATATGCCAGAAAGCTTTTCTCCTCTGGCTTTACAAATAATTATTTTTAATCTCCCAAATCAGTATTAATGTTTCAGAAGTGCATCAACCATTGTAAAAAAAAAAAAAAATTACAGTTTTTGAGATGAAACTTAATGTTCATCTTCATAAAACCAGGTATTTATGAGTAACACAGGATCTGAACTGAAAGACCTCGGGAGAGAGGAAGAAAAACTCAAGAGTGGAAAATAATTGACTACAAAAAAGGAAAACAATTACCTGAGCTTGTGAAGCTGCTTGTATACAGCTGGCTACTTTCACACTTCAGTTTAATTACTATTTGCTGGTTTTGTTCCTGAGAATTTGGGAAGACTGGATGTAAAATGTTGCCTCATCTACAGCTATCTGAAGTGTCAAGAAGCGATGTTAAGGTGTTGTCTGATTATTCAAACTTTTGCCTGAATGGGACAAGAGCAAGTTTATATCCATACCATTTCTTCTAATGGGGCTTTGAGATTTTATACATATATGTATATACACCCTTATTAGGTAAGTTTAACAAATATCAAGGTAAGAAATGGATCAGCCCTTTGAGACTGCAGAGAGACCCACTGTGAAGAAAGCAATGAAAAAGTATTTTTTCCTGTTTTTAATTACTTCACACATTAAAAAGCAGAGCGCAGAAAACATCCGGTGACAAAGCCAACGGTCATGCCACATCCATGTGAATTACCACCTCATCACAAGGCAAGTGCAGCTTTTTTTTTTTTTTTAAAAAAAAAAAAAAAAAAGGAAAACAAAGCGGGCAAACCCCATTTTAAAAAAAAAAAAAAAAAGGAAAAAGAAAAAAGCGCCATTTCACTTGACAGGCCAAAACCTTCAGATGTGGTGAGGGATCAGCTATGTAGGCCGCCAGCTCTCAGCAGGGAGGGTTTTTGAGGAAAATGAGGCATTTCTCCCCCTCCGCCGCCCCCCCCTTTCCCCTCAGCTCCGGCCTCCCGGGGCCGAGCCGCCTGAGGAGAAGCCCCGCAGCGAGCACCGGGCCGCAGCCTCGGCTCCTGAGGAGAGGGGAGGCCGCTGCTGCTCTTCCAGTCACGCTGCGCCGCGGCCGGAGCGGGGAGCGGGGAACGGGGCAGGCGGCCGGGTGTCAGAGACCGCCCCGGTCCGGCCACCGCCCCGGGGAGGTTGAGGAGACCCCGCCTGGCAGCCACCGGAGCGCGACGGCGCCCGAGCGACAGCCGCTCCAGCCTCCGCCCCGCCCCGCCCCGCCTCGCCTCAGCCGCCCCCGCCGCGCCGGGGCGGAGGGAAGAGAGGGAGGGGAAGGAGGGGGCCCGCCGGCCGCGGCGGCTCTGGCGGCCTCTCCTCGCGAGAGCGGGCGAGG